ATATAAATAATTTTGCCTCGCGGTTTGGTATGCGCTTCACACCTGCAAAGTGTAAAGTGCTACTGCAAGACTGGGTGGGCTCGAACCCTAGCCTCGTGCTTGCGGATAAACCGATTGAGGTAGTAGACAAATTCGTTTACCTGGGCAGTTGTATCAGTCCCGGTGGCCTCACGAAAGATGAAATTTCCATCCAGATTGGGAAGGCCAGAGTAGCTTTTGCGAACCTACGTCACCTGTGGTGTAGGCGTGACATCAGCCTCTCTGTGAGTTGTCGAGTTTACAGTGCTGCGGTGCGCTCCGTATTACTATATGGATCGGAAACCTGGTCGCTGCGCGCTGAGGACGTCAAAAGACTTTCAGTGTTTGACCATCGATGTCTTTGGAGCATTGCCCGAATCTGGTGGGAACTCCGGATCAGCAATGCTGATGTACGTCGAATGGTATTCGGGAGAAATAACTCACCCTCGGTAGATGAACTGATCACACTGCACAGGTTGCGCTGGCTTGGCCATGTGCTGCGTATGCCAGTCGACCGACTTCCTAGAAGGGCTCTCTTCACACAACCACGTGAAGGGTGAAAGAGAGCCAGAAGCGGTCAAACAATGACTTGGCAGCGAAGTTTGAAGGCCATTACCAGCAAACTCAGCTGCGCTGGTCATTGCCGTCTTCCTGAATAAAGACCCCGAGACGGGCCATATCAAGGGTTAGAGACATTGTCAGACATGGCTCAGTCGTGCCCTCAATGGTGCTCGTGCATCCAAGCTATTGCCTTCAATGCGTAGCTCCATTTCCAACCCCCCCACTTGACAGCCCACTGACAGTGCTGGATTTATGCACCAATTCACCAGATCGCGCCTGCAATGCGCAGCTACATACTCCCCTCAAATCATCGGTGAACGAAACTGCGGCAGCTACAACCACTGTACGACGTGTACGCGATTCTTACAGCTGACAATGATGATGATGAGTCGGAGTGTATTTCTCTACTCAAGCGTCATCGTGCTTCCGGTCCAGCAACCTTCTACCTGAGTCGTTCAAGGATGGTGGTGAGTTTCTCAGCCAGTGCCTGTTTAGCTCATTTGAATCTATCTGGGAGAAAGAGATTGTCTCAGAAAACCGGGGTGAATCGACACTAGTGCCGATTTTCAAAAAGGTACCCCCAGTAAATGTAGTAACCATACAGCTGTTACTTTGACGCCTGTTGTGACAGGGCTTCTGGCGCCTCTGATTCTTCGTTTTCTTACGATGGCACGTGAAACCCTGAATCTTGAAAACAAAGAGGGATTTCGACCGGATAGAGGCTGCGTTGACTACACCTTCACACTCTATCAGGCGTTAGAACAACGCCACATGTACAGACGACCCACAATCCTGGTATTCCTTGACTTCAGGGGTGCGTTTGATTCTGTCGATCAATCAGTGCTGTTAACTACACTTGTTCAACAGTGTATGCCCCAGAAGTTTGTAAACATAATCCGATCCCCATATTCACATTCTTCTGTGTGGGTGAGTGTATGGTGAGCTCTCCAAAAGCCGACAAGGATGTACACACTCGCCATTCTTGGTCAAATTCCTCATTGATCAAATAATGCGGTGAACGCCGGGGAGTCTTTAAAACCCGTGTTCAAATTGTTGCTGGTGAGAGCCTTGCCGATTTGGAGTTCGGGGCGAGATGGCTGTTGTGACTTGTTGACGATCGTGCAACTGTGTACCAGTCCCTTGGCTTCCTGCTCCGCCTATTGTGGTACATCAAAACTCGCTGTATCTCTAA